GGTGGTACAACTCAGTACTTCATGCTTGCTAGGTAGATGCTTTACAACCTGAGCCACATCCCCACATTTCCAGCCTCTTCCAGGTCTTTTTTTTTTTTTTTTTTGGTGGGACTGGGGTTTGAACTCAGGGCTTCACACTTGCTAGGTAGGTGCTCTACCACTTGAGCCACTCTACCAGCCCTGTTTTGTGTTGGGTATTTTTAAAAAATGGTATTATGAACTATTTGCCCAGGCTGGCTTCCAACCTTGATCCTCCTATCTCTGCCTCTTGAGTAGCTAGGATTATAGGTGTGAGCCATCAGCACCCAGTTTGCTCTGGTTATTTTGGAGATGGATTCTCACGAACTATTTGCCTGGGGTGGCCTTGAGCCACAATCTTCCCCATCCCAGCCTCCCAAATAGCTAGGACTACAGGAGTGAGCCACTGGCACCTGGCTCTATTCCAGGTTTTTAATATGGTCCATCCCATAGTTCACATTAAGCTAAATTTGGCAATTATACTTGAGGCTTTTTCTACTTCCTTCTCTCTTTGGGGGAGGATCTCTGGTGCACAAAAATTGCACTAATCACAATACTTGCTCACAAGACACTGTCACTTCTATCAATATAATATGCTCTTATGTATAGCTTTTTAATGAAGTTGTTTTTAATATAAGCACAAAGTATGAAAGCCAGAAACTTGAAAGTAACCTAACTTTCAAACTCCAGCCCCTAACCTGTGGGAATCATTATACTGAATCACATGATGATATTCCTTTTTTACGTAGTTTTACTACATATACGTTCTTTTTTCAATACTTTTTCCATATGTGTATATGTCTGTAGGTAACTCTAGGAATCAAACCCAAGGCTTCATGCATGCTAGGTAAGCCCTCTACCATTAGCTACATCCTCAGCCCAGTTATATTTAATTTTATAATATCACCAGTCATCAGAGAAATGCAAATTAAGCACACCTGCACCACCATTCCCAGCTTATTTTCTACATCTTTTCTTTTTGGTGGGACTGGCATTTGCACTCAGGGCTTCACACTTACAAATTAAAACCAAGACATACTCAGTAGGATACAGTTTAAGGCAACAATACCAAGTGTTAGTAAGGGTGTGGAGCAATTGGTAATCTTATCCATTGCTGGTACAGGAACTTTGGAAAACAGTTTGTCAGTATCTTATACAGTCAAACACACATTAACCGTATGACTCAGCAATTCCACCCTTACTGGTTACTCAGAAAAAAGAAAACTTGTACACATAAAATCATGTATACAAATATTCTTAGCAGTATAACTGATGACAGCCAAAAAGTAGAAGCAATTCAAATGTCATCAACTGGTGGATAAACTAGGGTTTATCTATCCTCATGGTATACAATTCAGCAATAAAAAAGAACAAAACATTTTCATAGTAAAATGAACCTCAAAACCATTATACTAAGTAGAAGTCAAACACAAAAGACTACATACTGTATGATTCTACTTACATGTGCAAAAATTTCCCAAGGCCAGGTATTTATTTATTTTTGGTGGGACTGGAGTTTGAACTCAGGAGTTCATGCTTGCAAAGCAGGCACTCTACTGCTTGAGCCACAACTTCCAGTCCATTTTGCTCTGGTTTATTTTGGAGATGGAGGTCTCCAAACTATTTGCCTGGGCTGGCCTTAAACCGCAATACTCCAGATCTCAGCCTCCTATGTACCTAGGATTACAGATGTGAGCACCCAGTTTAAGGTTAGATATTTTAAAAGATTCACCAGCCTTCACAGAATATAATTACCTAAGATTTTAAATTAAAAGCAAAGGACAGAGGTCAGAAAGAGTAAAAATGGGCAGGAACCTGAGAGACAAACATGTTAAGCTCCCCACGGTCCATATTCACACATAAACTGAACTGAGAAGGGTCTTTGGTTGAATCACCATGATCTGTGTGAGAAATCCTGACTTTTGGAAAGCTCAAATCAAAAGTTTCCAGGAGGGTTTTTATCTATTTTGATCATGTAATCAAGCCAGATATACGTAACCAGTTAGACCAGATGCAAACCCTCAGAAAAGAAAGTGACTCTAGGGGTCATCAGAGGACCTTTAGACTTTCAACAGCACATTATAAATCCCAAATGCCCTTATCTTGGCCAAGAATGAAAAACTAGATATCCAAGTATCCCAAGAGATAAAGATGAAAAAAGGAATAAAAAATAGAGATAAAGATGAAGCTTTTGTAATTCAGTGGTAAACAAACACTAGACCACATTAAATTCTATAATAGGCAAAACTACAGTGGGCAGAAAATAGATCAGTGGTCACCTGGGACCAGGAATGAAGGAGGAAACTGTGAACAAAGAAGCACAAGGAAACTTTTTAGGAGACAGAATTATTTTCTATTTTTTTTTTTGTACGTATGAGTTTTTTGAGGGTCTTGATTATGGCCCAGGATGACCTTGAACTCAGAATCCTCCTACATTTGCCTTCCTAGAGCTGGAATTACAGGCCTACACCATGATGCCCAAATTATTTTCTGTATCTTTTTCTTTTTTTTGGTGGGACTGGCATTTGAACTCAAGGCTTCGCACTTGCAAACAAAGTGGTCTACTACTCGAGTCACACCTCCAGTCCATTTTGGTCTGGTCATCTTGGAGATGGGGTCTTCAAACTATGTGCCCAGTCTGGCCTTGAACTTCCATCCTCCCGATCTCAGCCTCCTAAGTAGCTAGGATTACAGGTGTGTGCCACTGGCAGCCGGTTTAGACAGCACATTTTAAATTGATGGATTACACAGTATGTAAATTAATTTAATAAAAAAGAAAAGTTTTCTTTCAAAAGAACATCACAGCTGGGTGCCAGTGGCTTACACCTGTAATCCTAGCTACTTGGGAGGCTGAGATGGGGAGGATCACAGCTCAAGGCAGGTCAGGGCAAACTGTTCCAGAGACCTCCATCGTCAAAATAGTAAGATCAAAATGGACTAAATGTGTGGCTCAAGCAGTAGAATGCCTGCTTTTGCTAGCATGAAACCCTGAGTTCAAACCCCAGTCCTACCAAAAACAAACAAGAAAAAGAAATTAAAAGGACATGATGCTACACTTATTCTTGGGAGATTAAACTTTCTCACTTAATAGTTACTGCTAAGATTCATCCAAACTGTTATATATCTCCACAGCTCATTTCTTTTGATAATTATGTAATATTCCATTGTGTGAAAATTTCAGTTTATTTATCTACTCGACTGCTCATGGACATACGGATTATTTCCAGACTTCTGCTTTTGTGAGCAGGGCTGCTATGAAAATTCTTTACATGTGCTCTGGTATACACATGAGTTTCTCCAGAATATACCCCTAGGTTTGGAGTAACTTGAGTTATAGGCTAGGTGAATATTCAATTATAGGAGATAATCAAACTGCTTTCTAAAGTAGTTCTCTGCTTTTCTTACCTAAGTCTGTCTGTCCCCAACTAGACTGTGACCCCAGAGCAGGAGACCTTCTCCTCTCTAATTATTACTGCTTAGCCTCAGGCTGGATATCCAAGAGGCCATGGGCAGAAACCCAGGCACCCGAGGCCTCTTAGCCTCAGCAATACTAAGTATAAAGTAAACAGCAGCAGGTTAGGATCCTACTCAGAACACCAGCCAAATTCCATCCTCCTGGCGCTACTCAATTTGGAGTCTCCAAGGTCTTCCGGGGCCTCAAGTTACAATGCAAATCCTAGGAAAGGAGAAGGTTTAACCCTAGCTAAAGTCCTTGTCAACAGACACCTCTAATACCCAAATAAGGATCAGCAGGAAAGGCATAAAGGACAAAAGGAGTGGACAGGAAGAGGAGAGATAAGGAAAATGGGAAGAATCAAGATATTTTCAGGTATTCTAAAGTTATGTACCCTTTTCTGCATAAGGGCTGAATTTTTTTCAGAAAAAAAATAAAAACAAATCTGCAGATGATCATAAGTAATATTTAATAACCCTCCTACTAAAGATTACCTTATTTTGGCTAATGTTACAAAAACATAACCAGCATGCCAATCAGTAAGCAATGTTGTTCTCTAATACACTTTGTATGAGGTGAAGCCCTGTGATGCTAGGGGGAAAAAGCTCTGAGGACCAGGCACTGATGGTTCATGCCTGTAATCCTAACTACTTGGGAGGCTGAGATTGAGAGGATCTCAGTTTAAAGTCAGCACAGGCAAATAGTTCATGAGAACCCCATCTCCAAAATAACCAAAGCAAAATGGACTGGAGGTACAGCTCAAGCAGTAGAGTGCCGACTTTGCAAGTGTGAAGCCCTGAGTTCACATCTCAGTCCCATCAAAAAAAAAACCAAGCCTGTAATCCTAGCTACTCAGGAGGCAGAGATCAGGACGACTGCGGTTTGAAGCCAGCCTGGGCAAATAGTTTCACAAGATTCTATCTCAAAAAAACCCTTCGCAAAAGGGCTGGCAGAGTGGCTCAAGGTGTAGGTCCTGAGTTCAAGCCCCAGTAACTCAAGAAAGAAAAAAAAAAAAACTCAGGGATTTGAAGGTGGGTCAAGAATAAGACCAAAGCTGGCCTACAGACTAAAAACAAGAGCAAAAAACCTGGAATAAAAAAAAAAAACAAAAAAAACTAGGGGATTCCTAGGTACTCAGAGAGCAAAAGGAGGCAAAGGCCTACTTATCTTCCACAATCCTAACCACTACATCAGTAACATCTCTCTGACTACCTGTCATATAGAAGCTCATGGAATATTTGCCGCTATGTGAAGGACAAAGGTAGAAACACAAAAAAGAATATGATATCCCTACAGCAGAAGCAGCTTCTCCAGCCACATTTAACAAAAGGAATGACCAGAATTGTTCAGCTCAGAGGAGCTTTCTCAATGTGAGTAAGAAGATTAGCATGAGCTGGGCAACTGTGGCTCACACCTATTATCCTTGCTACTCAGGTGGCAGAGGATCATGATTTGAAGCCAGCCCCAGCAAACAGTTTGGGAGACCCTGTCTTGAAAATACCCAACACAAAAAAGGGCCGGTGGAGTGTCTCAAGTGGTAAAGCGCCTATCTAGCAAGCATGAAGCCCTGAGTTCAAACCCCAGCACCACCATTACCAGAAAAAAAAAAATCATGCATTGGCTTAAATGTTTTAGTTACTCACTCCTTAAATTAGATTATGGGCCACATGGAGAATCTAGGATGGCTCATCTAGGCCTGCTGGCTGATTAGGTGAAATCCACCTCAAGTGTAAAACTGGAAGTTGTACAGAGGATAAGGTCCTGGGCTTGGGCATCGTGGAACAAACGCTGAATAGCTGCAGCTGGTACAAACAGAACTATAACAGTATTTGAACTGACATGAGCCCCCAACTATAGCTCCAACTCTAAAGCACTTCAACAATTTTATTGGCTAATGGCTTCTTCCCAAGTTTATAGCTTAAAGTGTGGGTTTGCTCATTGGTTTCTCCTTCTAAACCCCTAAGGGAGCAGGAACCTTTAGTATAGGTTTGAAGATAGGGGTTGGGAGTGTGAGTTAGAAACCTGCTGATACTCCACAATTAGACAGCAGGACAAATTCCTATTTCCTACTGCTTAAGACTATCTGTAGAAAAACTCGAACAGCATGGAGACAGTTTGCAGTGCCTCCAAGAGTACACAAGTCTTCCAACCTCGGCAACAGGGTGATGCTATGTCAATCTCTGCATTTTGCAGAAGTACATAGGCCCAAAATTGGCCATGAGGTTTGGCACTACCAGTTCCCCAACCTGGCAGGATGGGAAGAAACAGAATGTGTCCATGAAAAGCTTTCGGAAATGAGACATATCTTCCACCTGAACCTTGATGCTGTATTGATTGGCCAGAAGCTCCATGGTACCTTGCACTACATACTCATTCTGTAAGTGTGAGAGTGAACACGTGGAATAGACAACATGGCCTCCTGGTTTGGTGGCAAGTAGTCCAGCCCTGAAACCAGAAAGAGAAAAAAGCAGTAACTAGTGTGTTTGCCAGCAGAGGAAGAACAACATAGGGAGCTGGAAACATGGATAACACTATCTACTACAGGTTGGGTAACTGGATTACACAGTATTTGCAGTCCTTTCCATAATGACACTACCTGAAAAGTCATTCTCAAGGCAGTGAGAAATCCAAGTTTAGTCCATGGGCTCTTCTCCAGGAGGCCTTCTTTCTCTTTTTTCCTTTTTTTTTTGAGAGAAGATCTCACTATGTAGTCCAGGATTACCTTGAACTCTCAATCCTCCCACCTCAGCCTCTCCAGTGTTGGAATTATAGGCATGTATCACCATGCCCAGCTATAGAAGGCCTTCTTAGAATCATCTCTTTAGCCCTGATTCTGGTTATGGACTAGACCTATGCTGGCTACTGACTGACACCTCACCTTAGCCCTACAGAGCTCTGACCTCAGAAACTAGTTTTCTTTACTTTTTTTTTTTTTTTGTGGTACTGGAGTCAACCACTTGAGTCATGTCTCCAGCCCTGGATTTTTGTTTTTGTTTTTGTTTTTAAAGACAGGGTATTACTATGTTGCCCAGCCTAGAGCCTAAGCTGACTCCAAACTCCTAGCCTCAAGCTATCCTCCTGCCTCAAATTCCCAAGTACCTGAAGCTACAGGTTTGCACCACCATACCTGGCAGTAGCTATTTTTCAAACACTTTCAAATCACTAGTATTGAGGGTAAAATAACATGAGTCAAAGATTGAGTTTTTATGTTTTAGAAAAGATCTTCCCATGATGTCTTTCTCTTTCAAGCAGATCTCTTGCCAGAAGACCCTTCTATGATTATGGTCTTGATGATGGCCAAGAGCTTATAGTCCCCCAGTCTGTCAGGTGACCGGACTCCTAGAACACTCTGGCACCAAGTCTTAAGATTATATAAATCTATTACTTACGCAAGAAGCTGCACCTGCAACATAGGCAACATCTGTCGCTCCTTCTTCCTTGACCGCTGAAAGATGTTGTTCTCTTCCTCACGAAGGGAGTGGCGGTCTGTGGTACATGGCACATCCACCAGCACCTGCCAGTGTTAAAGGGAAAGTATCAGGGCTGGAGATGTAGCTCATCTCCAGTGTTTGTCCAGCATACATGAGGCTCTGGGTCCAATCCCCAGTACCACAGATAGAAAGATAAACAAATAAACAAATAAATAAATAAATGGAAAGATTAAAGCTCCTTACCAGCTCTTCTTACTTAGGCCAGAGCTACCTTAGGCCCCTGGCCTACGAAGTTCTGTGGAATATTCCTTCTGCCCATCCCAACACTGCGGAAGTACCTGACAAAGTTTCTCATTTTAACCTAATAAGACAACTATGAAACAATGAATAAGAAAATAGGGAATATCCACACCTGGTCAAAATGCCCTGTACATCATTGAGCCCAGTATCTTTTCCCTTTCTCAGGCGGGGGGCTCCCAGGCTCCCAGGAGACTTCTCACTCTGCATGTGCTCAAGATGACCTCAGGCCAGAAAAAGTCATAGTCAGAAGGAGCTGCAGAGTCCCAGCTGTAAGATCAGACCTGACCTGAGGGCTCTTTCCCCTGGAGAAACCTGAGGGCTCTTTTCAGTTCCTAAGACCCTACAACCCAGCTCTACAATACGGAGGGGACTGGGAGCAAAGACACTTGTATTTCTCCATGCAGTCACTCTTCACTGAGAAAATAAGATGGTTTCCAAGCCTACCCTACCAAGGTAAACTGAGACAGCCGTGGTCTAACTGCACATTACACTGATAAGGAATGTTTACTAGTTTAAAAATCTCTTGCAAGCAAGTGCTGAGAATGCATTATTCCATGTGCTAATTCTAGTGCTTGCCCACACAGCTCACACAGACTGTGTCCTCAGTACCTGTGAAGTTAGTAGAGCTATTGGCCAAAACTTTCCTCTTGGGTCTTTCCTCTGCCTAGGTAGTAGTCTGGGGAGACAAGGAGGATCATCCCCAGGTGCCAGCCCACTGGTGAAGGCAAGGTATTCACAACTGCAACGGCTCAGAATAGATGATCCTAGGTCACCAGAATAGTTTGGAGACCACCTTGCCCAATGGTCTCATTGGGCAGAGGAGGAAATAAAAACCCAGAGAGGTGAGTAGGAGCATTCTCCAGGTCAGTCAGTCACATAGGGAGACAGTTTTGGACCCAACCTCATTCATTTTCAAGATGATATTCGGCCCTCCGAAAGCACAAGAACTCATCAGATGCCTAAGGATGAAGAGACCAGACAGGGTGGGACGGCACCAAGAACCTAGAATACAGCTTGATAACCACCCAACAAGAGGGCTATCCTTCGGAAATAATTCATAACCAAATCCCTTTCAATTCAAATAAATGTTCCCTCAGATCATCAGTTTTGTCAGTACAGACTTTAAAAATCTTGGTATTTTGTGTTCAAAAGCAAAACCAAATAAATAAAAACATACATATGATTTCTCCAGACATCTCCACTTTAGCCAAGGGCAAAGTCTAAGTCAACCTAATTCACTTCTACTGGGGAGCTCCACCAGGGTCTCTTGTAACTGGGATGTTAGATTTGTTTCCTCTATTATTAAAGAAAGCATTACATGGTCTAAAAATAAAAGTTTGAAAATTTAAAAAAAAAAAATGCCCTGTACACAAATGACAATAAATAAAGAGTTGATATCAACCTAGAAAGAAAGTTAGTGCTTTAGGGCGCTGTCCTTACCCTTTTTTTTTTTTTGGTGGCACTGGGATTTGAACTCAGGGCCTCATGCTTCCTAAACAGATGCGTTTACCACTTGAGCCACTCTGCCAACCCTGTCCTTTTATGAAAAGATCCAATTTACAAATGATACAATGCTCAATGTACAGATTATACTAAATAACAAGATTGGGATTCAAAATTATCTTAAGTTAAAATCATGTCAGATCCACTATGAAAATCTTTTTTTTTTTTTTTGGTGGGACTGGGGTTTGAACTTGACTTTGAATTTACAAAGTAGGTGTGTCACACTTCCAATCCATTTTGATTTGGTTATTTTAGAGATGGAGCTTGTGAATTATTTGCCCAAGCTGGCCTCAAATCTTAATCTTTCCAATCTCAGCTTCCCAAGTACCTAGAATTACAGGCATGAGCCACCATGCCCAGCCCAATATGAAAATGTTTTAAAGTAATAAACGTAAAATCACTCATTCATTTACTAAGAGCCTATTCTATTTTGACTGTCTAGAGACAGTCAAAAATTTTAAAAATATTCCTACATGTAACATTTGGAAAAGATAAATTTACCTTTGGAAAAGATCTGTTTTGGCCAAGTAGAAACTCCAAGTAAATTAAAAATGACCCAGTGTTGAATATTCAGATAGATTCCTCAGCTCCATGAATTAACACAGTGAATAAATAGTTAAAAATTTTTTTTCACCTTGGCCAGGCTAGTTGCTCATGCATATAATTGCAGCTACTGGGAAGATGGAGATTGGGAGGATTGCAGTTTGAGACCAGCCCATGCAAAAAGTTAGCGAGAACCCATCTCAATCACATGGTAGCACATCTGTGGTTTCAGCTATGCAGGAGGAAGTACATAGGAAGCTAGGTCCAGCAGGTCTGGGAAAAACACAACACCCTACCTAAAATATAACTAAAACAAAAAGGGCTAGCTAGGGGCTTGGCTAAGTGGCAGAGCACTTTGCCCAGCAAGTGCAAGACCCTGAGTTCAAACTCTGGTGATACCAAAAATAAAAGAAAGAAAACAATCACCTTGAATGTTAGGCTTTATTTCAAGAACTGTGATGGGGCTGACCTTGAAAAGAGATATTAACTAAATGGGATTGCCCAGAGAAGGGTCACTGGGATGTTCTAGAAACCACATCATGAAGAAATTAGTATCTTCCATTTCCAGCAATGTGGTAAATTAGATATTCTGAAGCCTATATAATACAAAGCAACTAAAAAGACTAGGTAAAATATATTTTTAAAATACTTTTAGCTGGGCATGGTGGCATACACCTAAAGGCCTGGCACTTGGGAGGCTGAGGCATGAGCATTGAGAGTTCAAGACCAGCCTGGGCTACATAGCAAGACCCTGTCTCAAAACAACAGCAAATACTTTTAAATATAGAGCTCATAGAAAATTAGGGAAATCCTCAGAAGCCAAAGAAAAGACAGGAACACAAATCCAGAAAAGTAGGGAGGCACTGAGCCTACTACTTCTGGGTTTTGTTGGTTCTTATTTTTCTGAAGGTACTGAGGTATGAACTCTAGGGGCTTATATTTGCTAGGCAGGCACTCTACCACTTGAGCCATACCTCTAGACCTTTTTGCATTGGTTATTTGTTTGTTTTTGAGGTACTGGGGTTGAACTGAGGGCCTCACACTTGCTAGGCAAACACTCTACCACTTGAACCATTATACCAGCTCTGTTTTGTTAGGTATTTTTTGAAGTAGCGTCTCGCTCATGAACTATTTACTCAGGCTGGCTTCAAACTGCTATCCTCCTGATCTCTCTGCCTCCTGAGTATTTATGATTATAGTTATGAGCCACTGGCACCTGGCTGCCTTGGTTATTTTTGAGGCAGGTGCTCTACCACTTGAGCCACATCTCCAGCCTGCCTTGGTTATTTTTGAGATAGAATCTTGCTTTATGCCTGGGCTGACCTGGACCACAATCCTCCTATTTGTACTTCCCCACATAGTTGTGATGACAGGCACACACCACCATGCCCAGCAATTTGCTGAGATTGGGTCTTGCAAACTTTTTTTTGCCTCAACCAGCCTTGAACCACAATCCTCCTGATTTCCTCCTCCCAACTAGCTAAGATTACAGGCTTGAGCCACCTTGCAAGGCTAACTTCTGTGTTTTTACTAATGCCTAATAACCAAAAGTCTAGGGAAAAAAAGGTACCTGAGGTGGGAAGCTGGAATGGAAATCTACAGCAAAGTCAAATTCTCAATAAGCTACATGACTTTTTGATTTGTTTTGGTGATACTGGTGTTGAACCAAGGACCTTTGCTTAATAGACAAGTGCTCTTTCACTTAAGCTACAACCCTAGTCTTTTTTGTTTTTACTTTCTCAGATAAGGTCTCACTAACTTTGCGTGAGTTGAACTTCCATCCTCCTGCCTCTCCTCTTCCAAGTAGCTGGGATTATAGATTTGTACCACCAAGCCCTGCAAAGCAACACATTTAAACAAAGAGTGAACTAGGAAAGAAAACCCAGCCCACAAGTTCTGGTAGAGTGGCTCAAGTGGTAGCACATCTGCCTAGCTAGCATGAAGCCCTGAACTCAAACCCCAGTACAGCCAAAAAAAAAAAAAAAGAAAAAAAAAATCCAGCTCATACAAAAGATGACAAGATAATGTGTCTGCTTAACTATGGGCAAAAAGAGGGAAAAAAGTAAACTTAAGAATTTTACTCAATTAGGAGGTTCAAAATTATGGCTACATGAAAAAAAAAAAATCTATGTGAATTGTGAGATAATACATCTGTCAACTGGCTCAATTAAGCCATTCTGCAATGTGTACAGAATTCAGTATAACATACTATACAGAATAAACATATATAATTTTTATTTGTCAATTAAAGACAATTTTTAAAAATCATACCTACATAGTCTAGAGAACCCCATTTTCAATAATAATGGTCCTGGGTTGACAGATTGCCTAATCATCTGGCAAAAGCAAAGGCAGGTTCCTTTCTGGAGAGATGAAGATCAATTTCTGACTGAATTAAGATGCTATGCCTTAACACTGACTTCACTTCTAGAAGATAACGCCATCTAGAGCCTCAGATTATCTCTACAATTCTTCATATGCATCAGCATTCAAACTTAAAACATTACTAACTTGCTTTGCAAATACAAAGCCGATTTCAAACCCCAGTCCCACCAAAAATATTCAAAAATTTTTTTAAACAGCAAAGGAAAAAAAGGGCTGGGAGCATGACTTAAGGGCAGAATACTTGCTGGGTGTCAACCTCTAAATTCAATTCCCAGTACTGGAGGAAAAAATTACTAATTTATCAAGAAACGAAAACTAAATAACCAAAAAACAAGAGGAAAAATAGTGATGA